TTTTTTAAAATTTAAATTACATTATAATTATAAAAATAAGAGTTTTTAAACTTAAATCATATTACATAAGAATATAATAAACTAAAAAATAAAAAAAGTTGCGACAACCGACGAAGAGAAAAAGAAAAAGAGAGGATTACATACCATTTAAACACAAATTTAAAAGAAAAACTGCTACTGCCCACATGTATAAATTACTTCTTTTAGCTAAGAGGATATTAATTAATTAATTAATTAATTTTTTATATATCAAATGTGAGTTATATAATAGCATCTAAGTTTCACGACTTAACAGTTATAAATTAGGTTGTAAGATGCACTCCCAACTCAAGGATTGGGTTCAAATCCCATCCTCTCTAAATGTAAATTTATTCAATAAAAATGTGATTTATATAATAAAAAAATAACTTTTTCATTTATAAATCTTTCTCAAAATTTACATTTGAGATATTTAATATAGAAATTTAAGCTCTTAACCATTAATTTTTACATGAGGGACATTAACTAACCTTATCGGGCACAATGTTTTCTTAGAATAAAATTTTACTATATTGATTATTGGGATTTTTTTTTTGAACATGTTTATTGGGATATAAAATTTTTCATTTTTTTGATGAATGTATATAAAATTTTTCTTGATCCTTCCAACTCAATATATTTGATGAGTAGTATAAACATGGTTGTTCTTGTATCCCCTCAATAAATATAAATAACTCTATTTAGAGTTTAGTTTTGAAAAAAACTATAAGTTCTTTAGTCTTCAATAAAACAAATAAGAGTGTTTGGTAAACAAGAACTATATCATCAGCTAACAACTTTTAATTTTCAAATACTTAAATCAAACAAAGCTAAATTATTGTAGTTGTAATCTATTTTAGATCATTAAGAACTTGTTTGATATAACAGTTTAGAAGTAATAGTTGGTAGTTTTACCTAAACCACTAAAAATAGGTATTTGATAAATTTATTTATTCTAAAACTATTACAAATTAGATGTTTAATAAAAAAATTTTATTTAATGATTTAAGACTAATGGATAACGATTATAGTTTAAACTATTAGTGGATTGAAAAGTTACATTTGGTAGTTTTTTGTATCTAAGTATTAGCATATTGAAAATTTTTAATTTTATTAACAAATTTATTCATTTTAATTTTTTTTAAAACTTTTAGTCATGGTTTTTATTTAGTACTTATCTAATTAATTTTAATTTCATTTTTTATTTTTAATAACATTAAGTGATTATTATATTTTTATTTTTATATTAATTTATCATTAAAACATTATATTATTTAATAATTAATTTTTTATACTATATATATATTAACTCATTTAAAGATATATGTTATGTAATATATTAGTTTTAAATTTTCATGGAAGAAGCCAATGAAGCTTTTACTCCAGTGGTAGAGGTTTCCTTTTATGGTTTTATGTACAAATTTTTTTTCCATTTTTTGTTGTACAATTTAGTTTGTTATTTATGATTGTGTTTTATTTGTTTAGTATGCAAAATTGTTGTAATATTTAATACGTACACATGTGTCTTGAATTAAAAATAAAAAGAAATTACAAGAAAATAAACGGCCATAGCCAAGATAAAGAAATTTTTTTTCCTTTTTATGTATCTAAAATCTTGATTCTGGTTGTATAAGTTATACTTAACCACAATTTATTAGTTTATAAAAAAAATTATTCAACTGGACAATTTGAATATTAGGATAGCAATTTCTAAATTCACATAATTTATTAAACTAAGAGTGACCGAACATTTATTTTGGATCGCTTCACCCATTTTCTTTCATTTTCTTTGAAAATTAAATTCAGATATTTGTTATTAAGTAATGAGAGCAGTAACCTCATAGAAAAGATTCCTTTCCCATTAACATTTTCATGATGCAGGATAGGTTCCAATAATTATTGGCTTGACGAAGTCTCGTAATTGAGAATATTTTCTATGGAATGGATATATCACATAATAAACTAATTAACATAACTTAATACATTATTAAAACTGTGTATGAATGAGAAAGAATTCTATAAAATTAATTTGTATAATTTTGAGTAAAAATAATTATTATTGTGTGACAAAGAGCCTACGTATCCCATGTGTCTTTAATATTGAGATTTTTGTATTTAGAATACATAATTTTTGTTGAATAATTTTATTTAATTAAAAAAAATTTAATTTTTGTTTAAAAAATATAAATTAAGAATATTTTTTTGATATAAATATATAAATATAAAATTTG